GAGTAGTTATTGAGATATCTTCGTTCAAAGTTTTAGAAAAAATTTGGCGCACTTATTTTAATAGACGTTTTGAATTTTACTAACTTTGAGAGAAGCTATCTCAACAACCGCCCGATCAAAATTGATGAATTTTTTTCATTTGAATTCCATATATTCATAGAATTAAAACAAAAAAAATTCATCGAATTTGGTCAAGTAGTTATTGAGATATCTTCGCTCAAAGTTCAAAAATATTTTGCTAAAATTGCATCAAGAACGTAATCAAATCTTGAGTACATCGTAGAATGTAACCGCTGACCTATCAATTTTGAAACTTTTGCCGTCCGCTTTGAAATCCGATTCTCACATGACAAAATGATTTGCAGATCACGATGGCAGATTTTTTGATTCTCGAAAATTTTAAACAATATATACAATTGTTTATTGAAATATATAATTGATATAAAATCTAAATCTCCGAAATTTCCAACTATCATCACAAAAATCTCAGTGTCACACTTTATTGCAAAGCGCCATAACATCTTTTTGCAAAGCGCAACAATTACAACATAATTAATCAAAACTATGTTAACAAATTTGTAAATCCGCCAAGTATCCCAATAATAATAATATTGTTGTGTAGGTTCACTGGCCGGTTATTTTTCGCTCAAATTTTTCATATATCATAATCATAGATATAAGAGTAAAATTACAGAAGAACTTTTTTATATTAAAATAAAAAATTTGTTCAAGAAAAAATTAATTTACGTAAAAATTCTTATTAAAACATGAAATTGATACTCCGACAATCTACAAGTTTCAGAAAATTTATTTATGATTTATCCTTCATAGTTTTGATTAATAATTATATGACACACCCTAATAATTAATGGTTATGAGAATACGCAATTTGATGAAAGTTAATGACTATACAATAGAATAGTTATGCAAGTAAGATATGTGAAATTTTCATCAAGCAAAAAAAAAAAAAATAAAGATGTTATTAATGCAATTTTTTAAGTGATAAAAATCGTGAAATTTCAGTTATTTTACCATGTATCGTATATATCGATACTATATCTAAAAAAGTTAAATTGAAAATTGTTCTAATCTAACTTTTCTAATTTTAAATATGACTAACTAAAAATAAGAAATGATTAACATTTTAATAATACGTATACCGTAATTAATTTAACATTTTAATAATATAATTAATTTAACCCTTTTCAATTAATCTATTTCATTCAACCCTTTCAATTAATCTATTTCATTTTGCATTTTATCTATTAATTCCTTCATTTCCTTGGATACTTTCTTCATCATCCGGATTTTCATTTTGATTCATTTTTGATATTTCATCTAGAAAATAACGCAGTCCATGTTGAACTATTGCAGTTGAAGTAGCCAGAAAATCATCAGGAATTTTATCATTATAGTAAGAAACATTTCTTGTCAAAGAAATCATTAATATAAATACACATGTTTTCACAAAATAAAAATTAATTGGCCATTTTATCAAGATAAATAACGTCTGTAAAATATTTGGTGCATAAAATAATGGTAGAAAAAAAAATGTTAAGCCAGCCTGCAAAAACATTCCATAATTTGTGCCTATGGATACCAATATAAAAAATATAATATATAAAATAACTAAAACTAATAAAAACGCAAATAATATGAGAAATACTAAATTAGTTGAATCAATTACAAGTTTACTAATAATAATAATCCAAAATATTGGAATCACTATTACTGGAAAAAATGTTAAGAAGAAAAAAATATTTTTAGAATAATCAGTTTCGTCTGCTTCTTTAATCGTTTTATGCTTAATTATTGCGAATATAGAACAGAACGCATGTAAACACATGTTTATAATTGAAAATATCATGATATTTAACAAGTCACCATAAGTAAAAGAAACTATTAATGGAATTACCCAAGTAACAATATTATATAATATGTCATCTAGTAATGGCAATAACTTTTTTTTAATAGACCCGGAATCATTTTTGACATTAAATAATATTACAAAAGTAATTGGAAATAATGTGTTAAGAAGAGAATCATATATATCTTGTGAAGATGAATAAGATTCATTTATAATTGATGCTGTCGCGAACTGAATAAATGAAAGGAAAATAATATTCCTTTTCAAGTTTAAGAAAAGAATTTGCATGATGAATTTTAAAATTTTGTTGATTACTAGTCAAAGTATATCAAAGTATATATAATGGTTTTTTTTTTCTGGGGGTAATTTGTAATATATTACACAAAGAAATATCTCATTTCAATAAATACTTTCTGTATTTTTTTTAAAAAGAATTTTATTATATATTTTTCTAGACAGATAATAAAGTTGATCTGGCCTATTATCTAATTGCATATCATCCGTTGGAGTTTTTTCATTAGAAAGAATTGATTTTCATAAACAAAATTCTTTTATGTATTATGCATATTTGTTTCAAATAATAGGGGGTTTCAAAACTAAAATCAGATGCCTATTTCGAAAAAAATACTTAAGTATTTGTTTCGAAACTCCTAGTTACAGAGATATTTTTTTAACTTCCAAATAAGCTCTCTTTAATGATAACGTTGTTTTTGTGTAAACATATAATTTAATACTAGTAGAGCTGTTAAAAGTTCGATCCAATCGATCCAGACCAGGAAAAAAAATACCTACTCATTTCCTGGCCGTTTTTGATTTAATTAATTTAATAAATTTAATTAATTTAATTAATTTAATAAATTTAATTAATTTAATTAATTTAATTAATTTAATTATTTTAATGCATCAAGAAGACACTTGAAACAATAGACTGCATTGGACGGTAAATGAATAGGTATTTTTTTTACCCTGGTCAGACTCTACGTATAAATAGGGACTTCACGTAATTGTTTGATGAAAACTACATTTATACCTAATTTGAGTCAACATCGACCATTTGTTTAATTTCAATATTTATATTATTTATGCTAAGAAACAACTGTGGTGCAGATAATAACGCAAGCATGTGACTTATTTTTATTTCAAAATTTTTGAAACCCCCTAACGCTAATGGCAGTGAGTTTCATTCGATCATATGCTTCTATTATAAACAATATAAAAAGTTTGTGCAACAGAGGTTCTTCCAATAAAAATGAATAACCAATAAAAATTAAACTCTGTCATGCTTTGTGAAACAAATCTATAATTATCTTTTAATATGTTTGTTTCATTATTCTTTTGTGGGGGAAATTTGAAGAACAAGGAACCCAGTGATTATCACATGACACTCGGCCTAATTTAGGGATAGGGTTAGAGTATAATTTAGGCTGATTTGTTAGTGCTAGTAAACAAATGACGTGACGTCATTATAGCTCACTTGGTTCCTTATTCTTCAAGTGTCCCGCTGAGATTCGAAACTAAACTCTAGTAGAAATGTCGGCCAGGACGACCTGCCCGAGTTTTTTGGCCTCGGTCCTGGCCCGAGAAATTTTCATCGGCCCGTATCACTATTCGTGTGTGAAGTAAAAATACCAGATAATCAAGAATTTTTGGTTGTCCTTTGGCATCCCTCATATCGCATGTTGGAGCTTTGATTTAAAAAAATGTTTAACTTATATTTAGTTAGGTAACTTGCGATGAAACCAGAAAGGAAACGTGCTAGAAGATATTGTTATGATACAATAATTACTCAAAAGATAGACAAAAAAATAAATAAATAAATAACGTGTGGAAGTTTCGCATTCACACAGAAAAATTAAAATTAAAGAAAAATTATTTAGTTTCTTCTTACTTTAAGTTATAAAAAGTCTTATCATAAGATCAGTAATTGTAACCTTGACCAAATCGTACATCTCAATCGAATAGCCTCTTGTTTGTTGTTTTTTTTTGTTCTTGTTTTAAATAGCGCGCACCAATCGGAAGTCGTGCCAATTCCACCGCTAACATCAATAATTTACGGTATTCTCAAGCACCTAAATCATTAATTAGTGGAAATAATTTAATTGATAAAGTTAGTTCTCATCGCGATGAAAAAAAATTGTCGCAATTATCTTTTTTTCAGAGTTGCATTGAGATTGATTGGATAAAATTTAATATCCACACTTTGCATCATGAGTCTTCAGCAAAATTGCTATGATATAACGATATAGTAATCTTTTAGAGTTGCGGGTTTATATGATTTTCCGACACCTAACACTTAGCCAACACTAACTATAAATCTGGCTAACCTTAAATCGTGCTAACCGTTGCTGTCGGGGAAATGAGTGCTTAAAAACACCCATGTATATGTATGTTCACATAACCAATTGAAATAAAATCCCTCGAGGGCATTGTTCGGACCATATTAGCACCTACAGTAATTACACAAGTTAGATTCCAAACTTATAAAATTTTATTAGTGGAGTTATACGAAAGACAAATAGTAGCGATAACGGATAAATATCATTGTTGTTTTTACCACAAGGAGAAGAATTGCCGAAACAAATTTGGAAATAAAATAAAGATTTTCATTATGCAGCCGTAAATGATTTGTCATTTTATTTTTGTCAGACATATACAGATATAATATAAATGTTTACTTGAACCTGCACACGCACATTAATTTATCTAATGCTAATCCTTTTATAATTTTCAGGATTTACGTAAAATTTAACTAGAATGGATAAGGATTTTATAGATCTTTTTGAAAGTGAATATGAATACAATATACTAACTGAAGTTGGTCAAGCGTCAAACTATAAAATTATTTAGGCTAATACATTATTTTAAATTCTCGGTGTTCTTATTTTCGAGATGAATTGGTATAAACAAATTATGATGAGAATCGAGTAAAAAAAAAAAATTAAAAAAAAACACATATTCTTTGATATTATTATTAAGTAAGATATAGTTACCGGAATTTGCTTTGGTTACTCTCCTGAAACTTGATTACTTACCTATGGCTGAAGGTAAAATTTGGGATTAGATCATTAGATGGTGAATTGCTCAAAATCCTGAATTAAATTCCAATCCTGAAGATTGGTCTGATGAAAACTTTTTAACTTTGAAAAATACACTTCGTAATTGCATGCCTCATATACAATACTTTCAAATGACTGGTAACGACATTATGGAAAAGTTTTCCCTTTTCAAAAATTTATTGATCCAAAATTATGGAAAGATATAATGTCAAAATCTTTTACTAGGAATATAAGTTTAATTATTTTGCCTCCTCGAGACAATACATTGCCACTTAGAATAAAATCCTAACTAAAGAAAAAAGTTCTATCGCACCTTCTAAGTTAAAAATGACTAGACCTTCAACTCGTGTGTATAAATTCTTATCATGATTTTAAAATTTTTTTTGCGCCTGCTCTCTATTAAATAATTAGGAAGTAAGTACAATAAATTTCTTTAATATAGTTTATTAATTTTATTTTTTATATGTATTTTTTACTATAAGAATGTAAGCATCAAACTCTTATAGAATAAAATTCAAAATATTGTTGACATTTGTTTAAAATATTCTGCAAATTAATAATTAATCCAATTAGAGTCGGAATCGGTTTATGCAATTCAACTAAATTCGGGTTAAACCGGTTTTAATAGTAAATCGGTTTGTAATGTTCTAATTCAGTTGTAAAACTTTTATAAACCAGCTTTTGAATTAAAATTCGGTTTATTTTTTATATATCTGTCGTGCCCCAAATGCAAATTTGTCTCAGATGTCAATTGGCCTAAATTATCAACCTAAATAAATTAATTTTAGCTAGATATTTAGGTAAAATTTAGCAAATTGATATCTGGGCTATCCCAATTGACAATCGGTGTAACCGTATCTATTTAGGGTAGTGTTACTATTGTTTTGGAGCGTTATACCAAGGGGTGCCGGTTTAACTCCAATAGTTAACTTGGGTGTGGGTATTATAACCGGATTTTATATAGTCTTGGTCGTTTTATATCAATTATATTCATGGGGGATTATGGGATTTAATTAAATCAGGGTTATCAGGTGATTAACTTAATGGGATTAATTAATTTTACAATGATATTTTTAATGATGATGTTAGTGATATATTAAAAAGTATAATATAATGTTACATGAAGAAATCATAATAGGATATATGAGCAAAGGATCTGCATAGTAGAAATTTTGAGTTGGTGAAGTAGTACAGCCTTCTTATGAGATTACATCAGTTAAAGTTTGATTTAAAAAGAAAACTCAGTCTAATAAAGGTAGAGGGTTTCAAAGTTACTAGATAGAAGGGTAAGGTAACTAGTTGAATACTAGAAAAGAACTAGGTCAACTGACTAGTAAAAAACTATAGTAGAATCTAAAATTATATAAATACTACAAGAGTCTACGCTAGATAAATCTGTAAAATGAGTACAAAATCATTCTAGTAGAAATTGTTTCTGAGGTTAACTAAAGCTTTGTATGTTTATAATATGTTAGGTAATATGTATTCTAAGAGAATCTAAGTCATGTCAGAGAAAGATCT